TTGCTGTACTGTACTGTTACTGTACTGTACTGAGAGGCGTATTTAGTCCAGAACTTTTCATTGGTTATCACTGCCTACTTCCCTTCACAAACCATTCCTTCTTGCYCCAAACACAGACTCGTAAAAAAATACGAGGGAACTTAACATTTGCAAAATCTTCGACGGCGATGTAAACCGGAAGTGTAAATAACTTCACTTTGGGATTTCGCGCCTTCAARGTCTGTCTTCCCTGTGGATGAGTTGACTTTACTGACAATGTCTTGAATGAAATCGCCAATGAACAGTACCACAAAAAGAAATTATTTACACTTCCGGTTGAAGTCCCGTCATAGATTTTGCGAAACTGAAGTCCCTAACCTTCTAACGATATGGTGATCACAGGTACCCTGGGAACTGCTGAGATACGCCCTTAAGTTGTAAGGAAACGTTTTTTAAATGAACATAGCATAATGTTTGTAACTAGAAGAGTGATCTACTTACATCTGGTTGAGCGTCAGGAAAGAACTTATCAAACCACAAGGTCCCTTTGAATTGTGCGATGAATTCTGGTAGTGGAGTAGGAGGTGGTGGTGGAGGGGTTGGTTCTCTGGGTGGTGTTGGACTGTGGTAAGAGGTAGTAATTCATTATTAAGGACATTATAATACACTCTACAAAATTACTCGATTCTGATTGGACAAGAGGAGTACAGTTAACTCCCAAATTGTACTCTGTAGAGTCCCAATTAAGTGCTTAAGTGCTCAATTTTTTTGAGTGTATTATAAACAAAAAATCGCACAATCTTCTCGTACAATTTGGAATTTATAGATACTCGTGATGTTTTGAAAGTTCTCAAATTGAACTCGCCCAAAGGTTCGTCCAATTTTGAAAACTTTCAAAACTTCACTCGTACCTATAAATTCCGAATTGTACTCGAGATCGTGTGATTTCCTATACTAATATTACCATGATAAACGGTTATACTTGTCATTGAGGCATATTTTTTTCTAGTAATTTAATTAGGTTAGGCATGTTTTTTAATGTTATTTCTTTCTTAGAGCAAGTATTTTTTATAGAACTTTATAGTGCTTTAACTTTTATCACGTTATTGATTGATGAACGAAAATAAGGACCAAGAGAGATTCTGAAAATGATTTTCAACCACATATGATGAGAATAAATGACGAGAAAATGAAAATGGAAAGGTGAAGTAGAAAGAGTGGAGCTACGAAGGACCAGTAAAGCAAATATGCCTCCCGTAACAAACCAGGAGAACAGAGGAAATGGCTAAATATATTCAAGGAATAAGAGACAAATGAATAGAGTAAGATAATAAGAAGCATAAGTACCTGAGTAGAGAGATTTGAGTATCTCGTCTGTGATAGCCCACAGACTGGTGTCTTATCCTGACTAGTCTTCTATTCTGCCTTGACCTTTCTAGTACATACACACTACTGGGTGGTGAGTGATCCTGGTCGTTAGATAAATAAAAATCATTCATCTCCCTGGAAAAGGGTGATTGACAGTCATTGATCCCCTTAGAGAAAGGTGATTGACAGTCAGTGATCTCCTTGGAGACAGGTGATTGACAGTCAGTGATCTCCTT